ATACCATATACAACGAACGCATAAACAAAATATTGCATTAAATGACAGCAACATCTACGTAAACAACCCAATATTCAATGCTTTACAGTTCATCGACCCAACCCCCTAAACAACTTTCACTCAATATATATAGCCACACGCGACACACACATCTCAGTTGCAGTTTACCGTCTCTTAATATCGGACACACAACACATCAATTACAACCCGGTATGTTTTACTACCTTTTACTACATTTTATTATGATTCATTTACATTTTATTACGTTGTATTACGTATTAACTCTTTAAATTATTATATTTCCTATGTCAATATCCAAAATCACGACTTGAAAATTAATTTTACAGATATAAAACATCCAAGTACAACCTCCAAATCAAAAGGAAGAGACAAAAAACTTAAAATTAAAATTAAACAAATTAAAATAATCAATAAACGCAACGCAAAATGTACAACAGTTTTTAAAAAATATATTAAAATTGATAGACCTGATGATGATGATGTGATACACATTGAATCATGTCGTCGATACAAAAAATGTAACAAGATGCAGTGTCTACTGAGAATGTTATAATTTTAAATAATTTTAAACAACATTATTTTAAGTTTGTGTATAGACGGAAAATAAAAATATTGTATCAATAAAACACAAACATGACGCAATTAAGATATAAACCTTCCACCTAAGTTGTTTCTTTTAAGAAAATCAAGTGTGGACCTACATACCTTTTCTACTGTTGTTCATAAATGAGCAGTACTTGGTACTGCCAGATCTTGCAGCCATGCCTACCAGTTGCATCACATCCGAACAGGAGAGGATTTGTGACTTTCTGGTTTGCCTGCAAATTTTTTTACACTAATTTTTGGTGTTTCCACAAACTCAAATAGCACAGTGAATGTAATATAAACTAATAAAATGGCATTTTTCAAACAAAAGTCTTTATTTACCCATATGTGGCATTTGAAGTGCTACATGCTCATCAGTTGAGAGCAAAAACAAATGACAAATTTATATTAACATGTTTGCATGGAATCATGCACATCCATGCAAACTTCTTTTAATGAGAAGTTGCCTAAGCACCTTTGGTGAAAGTGAGAAACCTAACCATGGGGCAAATAGAAATGCCTCTAACAAGATATGACCTTTGTAAACAGGTTTTTGTATTTCATCAACAGCTAATGTTCCTCTACTCTACTCTACTCCTACCATCATTATTTTCTCATCACTATGACTATAGTCAGCTTATTGTAAACATTCATCACAAGCAAGTACACAAAGAATATTGCTGCTAAGTATTTAACAATCCTACTTTATATTTGGATGATCTTAGACTCTAATCTTGGCCTAATGACCAACTATCTTAAGGTTTATCATGGGTTTCCTCATCCCTTCCAGGCCAGTGTCAGGTTAGTAACTTAAATGAGGCCACAATCACTTCCCTTCAATCCACTGTTAATCTTCATGTAATCTTTCAATTTGAGGCTGCTGGAGGAATAGATCATTTCCACATAAACACATACGTGACCTAACAGACATTTAAAGAATTTACAAATGTAAGGACACTAATTATGTCTAGAAGGAAACTATTTAGTCAGACAAAATTTTGATGTACTACAGGCTTAAAAAATGCTGCTACTGAGAAAGTTTTATGAAATTAAATATGCCTATCCTGTACTATTGATATGTTGAGGAAATAATTTTATATGAAACAGAATGGTACACATATAACAAATGATTAGATATAAAATTTTGATACAATAACTAGCTCCGAGTCCAACCAACACAAATACTAGCCTGAAATTTCTATTCTATTCAATGAGCCAAGTACTGCAGACTGCAGCTTTTGTAACAAACTCCTTACTTCTTTAAAGCAAATTAGAAAACAAAATTCTTGAAAGGGAAAGGGTGCTGAGTGCATGAATGTTTACAAAATACTGATTTCTGATGCATGTAATGTAATTACAAATTTATTACATAGGAATTACACTTCGCGGTTACAGTATTTTTGACAACAGTTAAATATTTTGTTTGTTCATGTGCTACTCTACCTGATACAGACAATGTTGTGCTGTTATATTATTATTTTTTGTGGCAATTATACGTTGATCTACAGAATGAATAATAATACATGTTCCAACAGCCTGCATTCAGAAGAAATCATTTAAATTTTGCAAATCCTTCGCATCACGGAAAACCACTTTACGATCATCGTGGCGACATAGGTATATTTCTGTCAGACTAAGTTTATTTCCCTAAGTTACTTAAAATATTTTCTCATCTGTGCTAATAACAGAAGACACCACCTGTTACAGTATTCAATTGAATATTTTATGTAATTTTTATTTTGCTTAAATGTTTAATTCTTACTTAAATTTTCATTGTCCACGTTGCTTTTAATAACCTCATCTTTAGTTTCCTTCTGTATTAAGCTCTGGTAAATAAGCATAGACCGTATTGGTAACACGTGTTAGAGCAGACAGTATTTGGAGCTCGCATTGAGGACGTTGCCTTTTGGGGCTATGTTCTTGATCTCTTTAAAGTTCACTTTCACTTTCTAAACACGTTTAATTTCTGGGGCGGATAGGTACTGCAGATAAAGCTGAAGAAGTAACAACATTCGGGAAATAGGCAAGATGATTCAATGTTGTGTATGGAATTTGGGAAAGAAAGCGGCCCAACGTCAGGTTAGTATAACATTTAATTAACTATTTTTATGGCAGGATTTAATCAGTGAGTTAGTATGGTGTATGGTTTAAAAAAAGGGGACAGTTTGTTATCATAAGTTACTTTGAGAAAATTTAGGTTAACTATTTCAGACATTGTTCTACATACAAAGTAGGCACTTGGTGGCCCCTTTATGGGTTGTAGCGCCATGTAGTCGTAGTAATGTAACAACGTTTCAGAGGTCCCGACTGCCGTCCTGATGATGGAGGCAGTAAAGACCTCCAAGTAAGAAAATTCTTATCAGTGTTATGTTAACTTCTACTTTGTTCTTACTGATTTTCTCCTAATTTGTTTTACTGCTGCCAGTTTGGAACATGGTATCAGATGAGCAAAGATGTAGTAACAAGAATGGCTCCAGACTTTATGGAAATGTCAATGGTAAATGAAGTTAATTACATTCTTTGGGCTCAAGTATACCAGTATTTTTAAATTCCTAATAGTTTTGCTATAGCAATACTTAAACCTGTCTCATTCAGAAAACTTTTTCTTTTCAGAAAGCTATATCTTCATTTTTTACATCATCCAAGAATAACTATGCAACAGAAGCCACATTTGAAACAAAGGTAAAATCAAAGCAATAAAAGTATCAATACACCTGCATTAAATCCTTGTACATTTCGTAGACAATAGAATAATCCTTTACAAATTAAAAATATTTGTGATTTTCCTTGCCATGTAGTTGTTAACCTCTATATCCATAAATCTGAAGAAAAGACAGAGATTTATAGACTTAATACTAACACCACTTAAAGCACAACTGAATATGAATTACACAGGAAAATCCCAATAATTTTATTTCAGCCTTTTCGCCTGCATCGGCTGGAGACAGGGCCTTCAAACACAGTTACGTTGACTCGTGATGATGCTGTGACACTATATGAAAAGATGCACACTATTAGAAGGATGGAAACTGCAGCTGGCAATATGTATAAGGAAAAAATTATCCGTGGTTTCTGTCACTTGTACTCCGGACAGGTATGTGCATGTTTACTTGATATAGAGGCCCACAACTGGCAACCATTTGCTTAGCTTGTCCAAAAAGAAAGCATTAGTGTAATTCTGTGGCACGTGTAGTTCCCTTCTCCTATCAGTGGCAAAATTTTGGAATAAATTTTGTAAGAGTGACTAGAAATCAAATTATGAAGAACACATATCCGTTCTTATCAGTTAGTAATTGACTAGATGGTAACTTACTTTTAACAGGATTATTTTTTGCAATTAGAATGGCAAAGTTAAAAACATTTGAACTTTTATCTGATATTGTATGAAACTTTGGCATAAAACATATTTCTTTCATTGCATGAATATACACCTATTCTTGCTTTAGTTCTAATGGATATTATAAATTGTAAATTCATGACATCAGCCTCAGCTTGCCACTTTCACACTATTTTTCGTTCCATAGCAGGTACCTTCCTCATTGCTTATTTTAGTGTCGCAGTATGACTCAGTTCTTTTCTTTGGGCAGTAGTGGAACATCAGGAAGGTTTCCTCATTGCTTGGGAGTCACAGCATGAAGAATCCCATCAGAATGATGGGAATTGTTATACACCAGTCATTTTTACAGCTTTAAAAACTATTTCCTGAAGGTAACGTTGATGGCACCTGCATGTCATCTGCCCTCTGCATTTCCAAACGAAATCTTATATACATACATTTTCAGATTTTTAATGTTGTGTTTGTGTTTGCTGAAGGAAGCAAAAACAAATCAATTACCTTGATTTTTGTGTGGTCAGTTATACTGAGGGACCTGTGTATTTGATAATAAATGGAGTCTGAATAATAGAGCAAGCATGAAAAATAATATTCTCATCCCTTCTGGCATGCTTAGTAAAAGTAGATAAATATGACTATAAGTGAATCTTGTGGTCATATGCATTTATATGATGTCCCTAAGAACCAGTATGGAATGGTACATATCCTTGTTTAAACTGTACACTGCATCTCCTGGCAACCATTCTGTGCTACTTATGTTTGCATCCAATTTATCTGAGTGTTAAATTAATATAACCTGTCCCAGTTGAGAGTTTTGATGATTTTTCCCGAGTCCTTTCAGGTAAAAGCCCAGTCAGTGTTTTGAAACAAACCATGTTTACTTCCATATCATTCACAATTTAATATTCATAATTGTCCGTATTTCTCATCTGTGCACTTGATAACATTTTGAACAGCCTACAAATCAGTTGTTCATTGGTTCATATACATGGTACCACATCAGTTTATCACTTCAGTTGCAGCATCCTATCTTATATTTTATTTTTATTACAGGAAGCTTGTGCTGTTGGAATAAAGGCCGCCCTTCGACCTCAAGACTCTGTAATCACTGCCTATCGAGCACATGGTTGGACCTACATGATGGGTGTTTCAAAGTTGGGAGTGCTAGGTGAACTGACAGGGCATCAGTCTGGTTGTGCTCGTGGTAAAGGTGGTTCCATGCACATGTATGCAAAGAATTTCTATGGAGGGAATGGTATTGTAGGTGCTCAAGTAAGTGTATACTTATATTTGGCTAATAACATAACTGTGTAGTCTGAAGACCTATGTAGCACCTATTACTTTCTTTGTTTAAAAGGTGTAGTGCAATTAAATGTTATTGTAACTGAGTGGATATTGAAGAAATTGTGGTAGTGTGGACTGAACTGATGTGGCTCAAAGTATAGGGCATATAGATAGATAGTTTCTTTAACTCCTAAGTGGAGCATAGGGCCTCCTTTCAGAGGTTTCATAGTCTTTAAAGCATGCATTTAAGAGTAGTGAGTGACTAGCCCACTGACTCTGCACAAATTCTACTCACTCCTGATTTGACTGCCATCTAGCAGTGAAGCAGTGAATCAGGAGAGACTTTGGTGAGAAATGGCCACTGAATTTTGCTTACGAAACATCTCGTATCATGCTCGCAAGGTTCTTTTACATGCTGTAAATCTACGACATGCGACCGCCGGCTTTACTTCCCCTCCAAAAGTAGTTGTGCTACAGATTTTTAAGGCAGGATAGTGAACCTTTGGCATTAGAACCCAAAGGTTCACCATTTAAGATAGATAAAGTGTTTAGATAGTTTATTGTAATTGGTGATATGAAATGGAAAGGAATATGAGCAACATGACTGGTATGATCGAGGGCTGACCTGGCATTTCAGTATGACAAAATTCTTAAACGAAGTCTGTAAAGCTGCTTTGTAATAAGTAGTGCAACTGAACTTATATGAAATGATCTTTGTAAAACCCACTCATGCCTGGTTACAAGATGAGAGTGCATTACCACATGTAGCTCAGAATTGAGACTGAATGGGTTTCATGGATCAAAGATCTTGAGAAACTGATAGTTGCTCAGTTAAGGAAATTACCCTTTTTTAATTTGAAGGTTCATTACTGTGTTCACAAGAGCTATTATCCTCCTGTTTAGGTTTTCATAGTGGTCTGTTGTATACATAGTTGATATGACTTGAATTCAATAGCCACCTGATTTGAACCCAACTAGGGTT